CATTCCCGGTATTCCCGGCATTCCCGGTATTCCCATAGCTCTCAGCACGGTGGGGGGGTACGGGGGCTCCCTCATTCCCGGTATTCCCGGCATTCCCGGCATTCCCGCAGCCCTCAGCGCGGTGGGGGGGTACGGGGGCTCCCTCATTCCCGGTATTCCCGGCATTCCCGGCATTCCCGCAGCCCTCAGCGCGGTGGGAGGGTACGGGGGGCTCCGGCGCCGCTTCCCGCTGGCCCTGGCTCCCAACGGCAGCGGCCCCTGCGGCCGCCCCCCGCCCGACGCCTTCCGGCTGCTCCGGCCGCCCGGATCCGCGGAGCTGCCCTGGCCGGGGCTGCTGCTGGGAATGTCGGTGCTGGCCGCCTGGTACTGGTGCACCGACCAGGTGCGCCTGGGAGCAGGAATGGGACTGGGATTGCAATGGGATGGCATTGGGATTGGGATTGCATTGGGACTGGGATTGCAATGGGATGGCATTGGGATTGGGATTGCATTGGGACTGGGATTGCATTGGGATTGCATTGGGATTGGCTTTGCAATGGGATAGCATTGGGATTGGGATTGCATTGGGACTGCATTGGGATTGGGATTGCATTGGGACTGGGATTGGAATGGGATTGCATTGGGATTGGCATTGCATTGGGATTGGGATTGCATTGGGATTGCATTGGGATTGCATTGGGACTGGGATTGCAATGGGATTGCATTGGGATTGGGATTGCATTGGGATTGGGATTGCATTGGGACTGGGATTGCATTGGGATTGGGATTGCATTGGGAGGGAATGGGGGTATTGGGGGGGTTGGTTAATGGGTGTCACTGGGTGTCACTGGGTGGTCATTGGGTGTCACCGGGCGCCACTGGGTGTCACTGAGTGTCAATAGGGTGTCACTGGGTGTCACCGGGTGCCACTGGGTGTCACCAGGCGCCACTGGGTGTCAATAGGGTGTCAATAGGGGGTCACTGGGTGTCACCGGGCGCCACTGGGTGTCACCGGGTGTCACTGGGTGCCACCGGGTGCCACTGGGTGCCACTGGGTGTCAATAGGGTGTCAATAGGGGGTCACTGGGTGTCACCAGGCGCCACCAGGTGCCACTGGGTGTCAATAGGGTGTCAATAGGGTGTCACCGGGTGTCACCGGGTGCCCCCGGGCGCCCCCCCTCCGCAGGTCATCGTGCAGCGCTGCCTGGCCGGGCGCTCCGTGACCCACGTGCGGGCCGGCTGCGTCCTCTGCGGCTACCTCAAGGTGCTGCCCATGTTCCTCATGGTGCTGCCCGGCATGGCCGCCCGCGTGCTCTACCCGGGTGAGGCCCCGCCCGACATGGCCGCCGACATGGCCGCCAACATGGCCGACGACATGGCCGACAACATGGCCGACAACATGGCCGACGGGGGGTGTCCAATATGGCTGCCCAATATGGCGACATGGCCGCCAACATGGCCGACAACATGGCCGCCAACATGGCCGACAACATGGCCGACAACATGGCCGACAACATGGCCGACAACATGGCCGACGGGGGGTGTCCAATATGGCTGCCCAATATGGCGACATGGCCGCCGACATGGCCGACAACATGGCCGACAACATGGCCGACAACATGGCCGACGGGGGGTGTCCAATATGGCTGCCCAATATGGCGACATGGCCGCCAACATGGCCGACAACATGGCCGACAACATGGCCGACAACATGGCCGACGGGGGGTGTCCAATATGGCTGCCCAATATGGCGACATGGCCGCCAACATGGCCGACAACATGGCCGACAACATGGCCGACAACATGGCCGACGGGGGGTGTCCAATATGGCTGCCCAATATGGCGACATGGCCGCCGACATGGCCGACAACATGGCCGCCAACATGGCCGACAACATGGCCGACAACATGGCCGACAACATGGCCGACGGGGGGTGTCCAATATGGCTGCCCAATATGGCTGCCAGGTGGTGTCCAATATGGCTGCCCAATATGGCTGCCCAATATGGCTGCCCAATATGGCTGCCCATGTTCCTCGTGGTGCTGCCCGGCATGGCCCCCAGCTGCCCCATAGCACCCATAGCCCCTATAGGTGCCCCATAGCCCCTATAGCACCCATCGGTGCCCCATAGCCCCCATAGTGCCCCATAGCACCCATAGTGCCCCATAGTGCCCCATAGTGCCCCATAGCACCCCTGGGTGCCCGCAGGCGAGGTCGGGTGTGCCGACGCTGCCAGCTGCGCCCATAGCGCCCCAGAGCCCCCATAGCCCCAATAGGTGCCCCATAGCACCCATAGTGCCCCACAGTGCCCCATAGCACCCATGGGTGCCCCATAGCACCCCTGGGTGCCCACAGGCGAGGTCGGGTGCGCCGACGCCGCCAGCTGCACCCATAGCGCCCCATAGCCCCCATAGCCCCAGTAGGTGCCCCATGGCACCCATAGTGCCCCATAGTGCCCCATAGCACCCATGGGTGCCCCATAGCACCCCTGGGTGCCCGCAGGTGAGGTCGGGTGCGCCGACGCCGCCAGCTGCACCCATAGTGCCCCATAGCCCCCATAGCCCCTATAGGTGCCCCATAACCCCCATAGCACCCATGGGTGCCCCATAGCACCCATAGCCCCTATAGGTGCCCCATAGCCCCTATAGCACCCATGGGTGCCCCATAGCCCCCATAGCCCCCATAGCGCCCCACAGCACCCATGGGTGCCCCATAGCACCCCTGGGTGCCCGCAGGCGAGGTCGGGTGCGCCGACGCCGCCAGCTGCGCCCGGGTGTGCGGGAGCCCGAGCGGCTGCTCCAGCGTCGCCTACCCCCGGCTCGTGGCCCGGCTGCTGCCGCCCGGTACCGGAACGGGGCGAAACGCCGCAAAATCGGGAAAAAGCGGGCGG